TATATATATATATCAGTTCAGTTAATGCCCTCCTTTTGCTCCTTGTGCAGGATCAGGGGTTTAAATCCCCAGCTAAGCATGAAAAATATTATTTTTGTCGGACCACCATGCAAGCCAATAGGCGGGCCACAAAAATGCAATTGATGTCTAGCACCGCAGGCCGCGTAAAGGGGAGTGGGGAGCCAGACCAGTGGGACGCGACCTCGGAAATTTTGAGGGTTGGAAGTTGAGCTGGTGGTAGTTGGATCGACGCAAGTAATTCGAACCACGAGCTGCAGGATTTGGAAGGATTCATTTGAGGTTCATCGAGGAATGATTCATCTAGGGTTTCCTGAAGGGGAGTCGAGCTGAGCAACTTCGAACTAGGATTGTCGTGAAGGGGCTCACTCCCACCCAAGCTTTAGAGGATCTTCCCTCAGATTTTGATGGTGAGGACATCGAAAGTGAGTTGAAGGTGTTCTCTAACGACGAGGAGGAGGGTGGAGGGGAACGTTGACGTCGAGTAATGCTCTACTCTTCCTTATACGCTTTTAGGGTATTTGTATTGGTCATGTTGTACAAACTATACAAATGTAGCTATTTCTTTTCAGCTTTTATCAGAATAATGTTGTATGAACGATAATAGTTTGTTGATCGTCTTGTTTAGTTATTTGATTTTGTTGGTTATTTTGCCCCTTCAATATTTTTGTGATATTGTTGAATCATATTTTCTTTTAATGCTATAGTGGATACCACATATCATTTAGAAATTCTAGTATCTAAAAAAGTTTATGTGAGGATAAATCGTCAGCGGCTTTTCACTTGTCTAGGGTTGTGCATTAGAGTATTACTTAATGTTGTTAAACTGTATAGGAGAAGCCAACGGAAGTCCACTGAAGACTTTTTAACCCATCCAAGGTTGTTTGTTGGAGCATTGCTCGCTTATAAACCTGTGTGAAAGGGAACAGGTGTAGTCCAACAAGGACTGTTAACCTATCCAAAGTTGTTTATCGGAGTAAAAACTCGGCGATATTAACCTATATAGAAGAGCTTAGATCGAATCCCCCTGGGATTAATTGTGCTCTGACTAAAATAAAACTGAAGTTATATATTTATCGAGTCGAGAGCATGAATTGCACTTTCAAGAGATATCACTTATGTAGAGTAAAGTAAGTGAATGATATTCATTTAAGAAGTTTGACATACATTAACACGGTATGCAAGAAGTGATGTAATAACAGACATGGATTACGTGTTGTAGTGTTACTGGTAGTACTTGCGAGGATTCTCTACATTACATGTTCGGGTCAAGATTTTTTCTTCTGAATCTCTAAGTTTGAAGGTTGCAGGCTTGATTGTGGCAGCGACGATATATGGGTCTTCCCAGAGATGGGACAGTTGTTTGCGTTGCGGACCACAACTGACGGCTTCAATACTACACAAGATCAGGTCACCGATGAAGATAGGTCGATGCTCGACTCTCCAGTTGAAGTGACGAGCAACCCTTTGGCGTTATGTAGCGACTCTAACGTGGACCACATTGCGTGTTTCTGAGAGCAGATCCACATGTTGTTGGAGCTTTTCCTTGTTGTTATCAGAGTCGAAAGTCTTAACTCGTGGGTTTGAAACTCCGATATCAACTGGGATGACAGCCTCAGTGTTAAAACATAAGTTATATGGAGTTTTCCCAATTGGAATTCACGATGTGGTGCGATAGACCCAGAAGACGTTGTAGAGCTCCTTCGCCCACTGCCCCCCAGCCTTCTCAAGACGAGTCTTCAACCCCTTGCACACCATTTAATTTGACGCCTTTGTTTGTCCGTTGGTTCGGGAATGCGCCTTGGCAGTGTGCACCAACTGGTGTGAAGATCCTTGCAGAATTACGTGAAGTGCTTTTCAGAGAATTGAGTCTCATTATCAATAATAATCTTCGCGGAGATTTCATAGAGACGGACAATGTTTTTTTCTAAACACACTGCTTCGCACTGGCATCAGTGATTGACATTACTGGTGTTAATTTCAACCCGTGATTCCTCAAAAAATAGTTAATCCAATAATGACTGTCACCACCCGACAAGATACCTGAGCAATGAAAACTCTGAATGGCTTCATGATTTCGATAAACTCATTGTAGGCGGAAATCGTAGGCAGGCAGTCAAGATTGCCTCATGAAGAGTAATACACCCAGAAGGAGGAGAATACACTCGGTTGGTTCAAGACAACAATTTCACCACCATGTCTTTCGAGAAGTAATATTTCTTTTGAAACAAAATTAAGTCGCTCTCCGTTATAATTGACATTGCATCCTCCGAGTGTTGTCCATTTGATTCTCAGCGAAACGAGGTTCTCCAGTTATCATCATTTCCGCAACATGAAAGAAGATTCCAATGCTTGTCTACCACACAAAATGGGGATGTCTTTCCTCTTCGCTGCAACGTGAAAGAAGATTACATGCACGCATGCTTCGCAAGATAGGGACGACTTTCCTCTTCGCTGTAACGTGAAAGAATATATTGTTGCTCGTCTGCTATGCAGAACGTGATAACTTTCCTATTTGTTGCAAAACAAAAGAATATGTTGCTCGCCTCCTATGAAGGGTGAGAACAATTTTCCTCTTGGTTGCAACGCGAAAAAAGATCTCATTGCTCCCCGACCTGCGTAGCAGAACGAAGACGACTTTGTTCTTTTGGAAAAAAAGGGGCCGCTGTTAAAAAAAGAAACAATCTCCTCAAATTCCACCTTTTCCAATCTAAATCTCGTAATCGGTCCAAGTTCTGTAGGTCTAACTTTGCGTCAGTTCAAATTCTATTGATTTAGCTCCTGGACTGGTTCAAATCTCGCAGCCTGCGGACCGAATTCCCTTCGCAAGTCCAGCTATCATCAGCCCGCCTTCCAACCCTCCAAATTACTGCAGCTGCATCCCGACCGCTCCCATTTATGCGGCCCGCTGTGTCATACCACAGTTAGGGGTGTAAACGAGGCTCGCTCGTGTTCGGCTCGTTTATATTTCGAGCTCGAAAAGTGTGTTCGTGCTCGGCTCGTTTATATTTCGAGCTCGAAAAGTGTGTTCGTGCTCGGCTCGTTTATATTTCGAGCTCGAAAAGTGTGTTCGTGCTCGGCTCGTTTATATTTCGAGCTCGTCTTAGCTAGTCGAACACGAGCCGTTCACGAACAAAGAGTCATTTTAACAACCATAATCACGTAGTCATAAGATGTTAAAAATTGGGACAAGATTTAAAACATCATTTAAATCGAATTTAATAATTTTTATTCTATTTTCTTCATTAATATTTTTAACCTTGTAGTCAATTAAATTTTTAAAAAATACTACTCATCAAAGATATATATATAATTGATTAGTACTATTTCGAGCCAAAACGAGACGAACACGAACGAACAAACGAACACGAACGAACTTTGTGTTGTTTGTGTTCGGCTTGTTAACTTAGCGAACGAGTCGAACACGAGCTGTTTTGACAGCCCTAACCACAGTTGCATTGTTGTTGCCTGCCCATTAGCCCTTATCGTGGTCCCGCAAAAATAATATTTTTCATGCTTAATAAGAAATTTGAACATGTGTCCCTGCGCAAGGAGGAAGAGAGCACCAACCGAGCTGAGCTAAGTTCTCTGATTAAACATGTATGCATTTTATTCTTGTGTTGATGTTAAACAGTGATAATATGTATATATATATATGCAAGATAAAAATATAAAGTGCTCTAGGTCTTGATATTTTCAAGAACCGGGTCGGGTCTACCCAAAAATATGGGGCAACTGATACACATCCAACAAATCTTTTTCTTTTAGTACGAATTTCAAGCACAACACGGATCTTGAGGCGATTTTTTTAATAAGAAATATTGAAACTTCGATAAAAAAGTCGTCTAGAACTCTGATTTCAACAAACTTACAGTCAAACTGACCGGCTCGACAAGAATAACCCAATGTTACTAAAATTAGTTCAATCCAAACCAAATGAAGCCCAAATCAAACCATTAAACTGTTTTTGAAAGTTTTCTGAACATATTTGAAATGTCAAACAAATGTCAATTCTGAAGAAATTATAGTCAAGTCGAGTGTCTTGATAGGAAAAATCCAACGAGTTCAAGATTACACAATTCTAATATCATTAAGACACTCAAACATTCATCAAATGTCGTCCGATCGAGAGAATGCATCAAAGTCATCTAATCAAAGTGATTCATATTCCAATATTAATTGCACTCAAAACTCTATAAATAGAGTCTCACCCCTCTCATTTGGGGAAGAGAAGAGTTTGAGGCTTAAAAAAGAACCTGAAGCTTTGAGAAGAAATTGAAATTCAACACTACTCCCGCCGACTGTTGTTGACCATCGTCAAACGCAGTCGAGCATTCATGCCACTGTCGACCACTGTCAATCACCACCGACGTCGTCGACCACCGGCAATCTCCATCGACCATTGTCGGCCGCCTTCAATTACCGTCAAACACCGTCGACCACCACCAACTGGATGTCTCCAATCAGTATCGGTCGCCGCCTGTTGACGTAACTTTAGAAACCTAGTAACTTTTTCCCGCCTATAGGACAAGTAGTTGCAACTTTAATCATATTTTTATAGTGGAATACTTCAGCTGGCTCAATCCACGTGGTTTTTCCCTTTTCGATTTTCCACGTAAGAACTTCTGGTGTCATTATTAGTTGTGTTGTCTTTTATGAGTGTGTGTTCAATCTTCATACTATACTAAGACGATAATCTGTCACTCTACTGCCGCGAATTGTCTAGCACACATCACACCTACTTTACAAAAGTTAGATAATCATTTTCATGCATATCACACCAAAGTGTCATAGACGTAAATAAGAAAGTTTAGGCGTTAGATATGTAAAATAGAAGAATTAGGTGGCATTGATGTAAATTTCCCTAACTTTCAAAGTAAAAATATGCCATATGCCTTGCTACAATTCAAACTCCAACGGATTAAACCATAAGATTTGGCAAGTTCTAACTTAAGAAAACATACGGATGCAATCCGGAAAGCTACTAATTGCCACAATCCCAGAGTTTCTTATATTCAGCGGCTGATTCCAAGAATATCTACCTTTTTTTTTTTTTTGTAATCGGTAAAAGTACGACTTTTTATGTATTTTTATTGTGCATCTGATTTCTGGTTGCAATAATAAATCAACCTCACCGCCTACAGACCACCGAGCCTGGTTAATTACAAGTCAAACACCCTCTTTCACCCATTTTTCAAATACTCGCTCAAATGTCAAAATTTAGAGGAAAATCCTACCCCATATTTTTCATGTTTATCACAATCTCAATAGTTTGACCGTGACAAACATAAATACATCATTTCAATAATTCAAAAAACTCACCTCGATGGTTAATTTGTAAATATCAATATTTTGAGTGATCTGTATGTAATTATCCCTAAAAGATAATATATCTTTCATACCTCCCATGAAGATAGTTTTTTCATAATCGCGGGAAGTTTATCATAATCATCTTCTGAAATCATTATTTCAGCTTTCATGGAAGCTCCTCCTGTTAGAATCATATTTTCTAGAAAACAAGCATTAAGAGTTTATCTAATAGAATGAGACGAATTTGAACATTTAGTCAATTCAGGGACTAATTACATACCTGATGAATCCAAAGAATCTGCCGTGAATTTATTAAATAATAAATTTTGACTTAGTTGAAAATCAGCATAACAAAATAAAACAAATAAAAAATTAGACAGAAAAAGGCATAAAAATACAATCAAAAGGAAGGGATATAAAAATTAAGGTGCAATAACATACAGACCAACCAAAACTTGGTATTTACAAATCAACCACCCTCTTTCATCCATTTTTCAAATTCCCACTCAAATATCAAAACTCATGATAAAACCCCAACCCATGTTTTTCATTTTATCAAATTCTCAATAGTTTGATTGTGGCATGCATAACTACAACAATTCGGTAGTTCAAAAAAATCACCTGAGTGGTTAATTTGTAAATATCATTTTTTTGAATAGTTTCTATGCAGTTATCCCAAAAATTAAACTTAACCTAGTTATTTCCCATTACGTCATTTATATGCTTGCAGAAAATTCGTTGTCTGCAATGCATAGCAAAGAATGATTAAGTATTATTGTAGAATCGAATTGATTTTAAGACATGACAATCAAATGGGAAGAGAAGCTAAACATCAGCATTAACCCAAAAAGGGCATTTACATAAACTACCCATTGTTGTATATTTAGATATATAACACCTAAACTTCGTTTTTTTCACATTTATACTACCAAAATCTTTTAAATCACATAGAACATACTCTTATTTTAATTTTAAAAAATGTAAAATATATCTTTTCATGCATTGGCAAGGTGATTTGTATGTAAAAATTGAAGTCAGGTATTAGATATGTAATAAATACATAGGAACTGAGTGGTGTGATGTAAACATCCCTGAAAAAAATACAGCAAAAGGATTTTCACAACTAAAAGGATCTATATTCGCATCAAAGGACGGAGAGAGGTAACACTTTCCAATACAAAGAATTCTTTTTTTTTTACATCACATTTTCAACCACGGTCACCTCCTTAAAATCATTTTAGCTGAATTCAGTTACGGTTTCATTACTAAAAAAAAAAAAGATTTTCAGGAGAAAGCATGACTCAATATTTGAAAAAATTAAATACCATTCAATAATAGTTATAATATATTAATTAAATACCATTCAATAATAGTTATTATATATTTAAAATTCGGATACAATATTTTAATTACAGCTGATATGCAATTTTTAAACGTTATGGGTATTCTGTACCCATCTAAAATTTGTTGATGGAATATTCATTTCAATGAATGAACAGCACCATCATCTATGACTCGTCGAAATAATTCAAACAACCCTGATCTTGACAAAAATAAATATCATAAAAATTTATTGAGATCTATGTGTGTGTGTGTGCACAGGCAAGCCTGCTAAGAAGTTATATATTTATTGAGATATTTCATGAAAAATTACACAGAGAGTAAGGAAGATCTAAATAGAATTTATTGATTTAGAAAAAGCTTATGATAAAATTTCAAGAGAAGTACTTTTGGAGAGTTCTAGAAAAGAATGAATTTGATATTCTTATATTCAATTCATTAAAGATATGTATACTAGAGTTGTTACTTGTATTCGAACTCAATAAGGATTGACCAAGTATTTTCCTATTTCAATTGGATTGCATCATGTATTGCTTTTAAGCCCATATCTTTTTGATTTAGTTATGGATGTTCTTACTGGACATTTACATGAGGATGTCCCTTATTGTATTTTTTTGTGTTGATGATATCCTTATCATGGATAAGACTAGAGAGAGGGTTTAGAAAAATATTGATTTGTGGATGTCAACTTTAGAATCTACAAGCTTTCGTTTGAGTTGATCATAAAATTGAATACATAAAATGTAATTTTAGTAGTAGATCTGGTGACAGGGTTCTAACAACTGGTGATGAAGTCATTAAAAAGAGTGAACGTGTTAGATATCTCGAGTCTATTGTTCAAAGTGATGGTGATATAGATGGAAATGTTATTAGTAGAATTCAAGTTAAATGGTTGAATTGGAGGAATGAATTGGGTCTATTGTGTGATAGAAAAGTAGCACTTAACTAAAAGAAAATTTTAATTAGATGGTGGTGAGACATGCAATGCTTTATGGCACGGAATGTTGGCCATAAAAGAGAGGCATAAAATTAAGTGTTGCCGACATGAGAATTCTTAAGGGTATAGTGGCTTACACTTAGAGAGAAAATGCAAAATGAATATATCCATAAAAGCGTTAGAGTAGCTCCAATGACATACCGGATTAGCAAGAGTTAAAGAGTAGATGTTTTCGATTTGACTTGTGTTAAGAAAAGTAAACGTGGGCCTAAAAAAACTTGAGCATGTTATATAAAAGTTTATCTTAATTTATTAGGATTAAATAAAAATATGACACTAAACAGGACACGATAGAGAAAAAAGATTCATGTAACCGACCCCACTTAATGGGATAAAGGCTTGTTGTTGTTTGTGTTGTATTATGTGTATGTGTGTATTCACCCAAATGGTGGGTGATTATTAATGAAAAAAAGAAGGGGCATTTTCATACACACAATACAATTCTTATGCATTTGCATATCTAACACTTAAACTTCCATATTCACAAGTATAGCACTCAAATCTTTAATATTACATAACAAATATCACTATTACTAACTTCTTAAAATTAAAATACGTCTTTTTATGCGTAGGTCTTGGACTACAACGTGTTAAAAATATAAAAATCTAAGTTTACGAGTGAGATATGTAAATATATAAGAATTGTGTATGTATGTAAATCCCACAAAAAAGAAATGGCTCTAATCACTCATTATGAACATGAATTGCACATTATTACCACCATGCAAGGTGAATAGACTAGTCACCCACTAAGGGGTTCACTTGTCACCCACAAAATTTTACTATCATTGTGCTCCTATAATAGCTAATTCGGATGCCAAATATGTTTAACAAAATTATTCTATTCTAACTAATGCTAAAGTTGACCCAATCAGTAGCTCCTGGATGATTCAAATGGCTTATAGCGGGATAAAAGTTAGCCAAAAATCCACGGACTACTTAGTATTCTGTAGAGAAAGATTGATTATGTTGGCTTAGAACCAGCCCACCCAGAGCAAAAATTTGGGAACTTTGATAGATAAAAAATTTGAAGCTGAAATTTTCAATGTTTTGTCATTGACTATCTAATGTTCCTGATTTTATTCAAATATGACACAGTTGGCAATTTTATTGTAGTGATTCAGCTAGAACTAATAGTTGAATTTACATTGTTCTATATTTTCACTAATTTCTTCAAAATTTATTCAATCATTATATTACCATTTGAGTTTTAATTCTCGTATTCATTGTTTGCATTTAAGAAAAGTAAGATGTGACTTCTTTAGTTTGAATTGTGAATCCTAAGTTCCTCTTGGATGATCTACAAACATTGCATCATTCTAGTTGGATTCAAAAACCTGAACCATCATGCATCATCCTTCATAATAAATTTCAACCCTCCATCTCTTTTTACCGGCTCAGATTCATACTTCTCAAAATAGGACTTTTGGCCGTTTCACACATTTTATCTTCCATTGTTTCTGATTACACATCTACTTATTTTTTTAACAGTTGATGTTTTTTTCGCCATCCATCACTGTAAAGTTTTCACCATGAGAACTACTGCGTCATGATTTTTACAGTATTAGAATTCATTTCTCTGTATGAACTGGCCAAACAAACAAAAAAGAAAAGTAAAAATTTAACTCAAGTAAAGTATATTAAAGATGAAAATCAAAATGTACTTTTCTTAGAAAAAGATATTCAACATAGCTGAGTGAGTTATTTTGATAAACTTTTTAATGAAATTTCTGAAAATACGATCGACCTTGGTGATCTTAATATCATGAAAAATAATAAAACGTTTCATTTTTACCGTAACATTAGTAAAAAAGAAATTGAGGAGGCTTTAAAGAAAACCAAGGGTGGAAAGTCTGTAGGACATGCTGATATCCCAATTGAAGTGTGGAAATATTTAGGAGATTTGGGAGTTTCTTGGCTTACTAAACTCTTTAATATTATTTTAAAAACTAAAAGATGTCTGATGAGTGGAGGAAGAGTATTTTGGTCCCCATTTTTAAGAATAAAGGGGATGCACAAGATTTTGCAAATTATAGAGAAATTAAGTTGATGTGTCATACTTTAAAGTTATGGGAGAGAGTAATTGAACATAGGTTAAGACGCGGTACAAAGATTTCTCATAATCAATTTGGATTTATGCCGGGCAGGTCTACTATGGAAAATATATATTAATTGAGAGGTTTGATGGAGAAGTTCAGAGATAATAAGGAGAATCTACATTTGATTTTTATTGATTTAGAAAAAGCTTACGATAAGGTTCAAAAAGATATCCTTTGGAGAGTTCTTGAGAAGAAAGGTGTTGATATGACTTATATTCATTAAAGATATGAATACTAGAGTTGTTACTTGTGTTCAAACTGAAGGAGGATTGACCAAATAATTTCCTATTTCTGTTGGATTACATCAGAGATCGGCTTTAAGCCCATATCATTTTGCTTTAGTTATGGATGGTCTTACTGGACATCTACAAGAGGATGTACCTTGGTGTATGCTTTTTGCTGATGATATTCTTCTCGTGGATAAAACGAGAGAAATGAATGATTTAGATACTTTGGGTCTATTGTTCAAAGCAATGGTGATATAGATGGGGATATTAATAGTAGAATCCAAGTTGGTTGGTTGAAGTGGAGGAATGCTTTGGGCCTTTTGTGTGATAGAAAAGTACCGCTTAGACTGAAAGGAAAATTTTATAAGACGGTGGTGAGACCTACAATGCTCTATGGCGCTGAATGTTGGCCTTTAAAATAGAAGCATAATAATAAGTTAAGTGTTGCCAAGATGAGAATGATTAGGTGGATGAGTGGCTTTACACTTAGAGACAAAATGTGAAATGAACATATCCGAGATAGGATTAGTGTAGCTCCTGTGACGGACAAAATTAGAGAAAGTCGTCTTAGATGGTTTGGTCACATTAAACGTCGACCATCTGATGATCCGATTTGGAGAGTAGATATTTTAGATTCGACTTGTGTTAAGAAAGGCAGAGGCAGACCTAGGAAAACTTGGGCTTATTGTATAAAAAATAATCTTAATTTACTAGAACTAAATGAAAATATGACACTAAATAGGACGCCATGGAAAAAAAAAGGATTCATGTAGCCGACCCCACGTAGTGGGATTAAGGCTTAGTTGTTGTTGTTGTTGTTGTTGTTGTTGTTGTTGTTGTTGTTGTTGTTGTTGTTGTTGTTGTTGTTGTTGTTGTTGTTGTTGTTGTTGTTGTAGAATTCATTTCTCTAATTAAGCAAGACACCTGCCTTGTCCTAGTGATTTGAGTACAATTACGAAACTAGGTGGAAAGGATCTGTTCTTGTGGGTTGATTGTGCAGAAAACCCAAATTTTGATACTAGAAACCAAGTTGCAATGTCATCAAGCCACAAATTATTGCTTGTTATCTTCAACGAAAATGAATAATTTGCAAAAGTAATAAACCAGTGTAAGTTCAAAAGTAGGCTTTTAAAGAATCACAAACAAAAACCACCATCTTAAAACCAATAAGAGAAAGTTACTAAACCTTTAGAAGCTAAAGCAGCAAGACTTGCTTCTGAAAGCCCAAAATTTTTCAAAGAAATGGAATCATTATATCTTCCGAAGTTTTGAGAGGAAACAATAATAATAATGATAATGATGCAGAATAAATCAAGTCCGAATTTCAAAAAATATCAGAATACACAGATCACGAAAATTTTGCTTTGCGGTACAAGGAACGAAATTTTAAAATTATGGAAGAGACAACACTGTTATTCCCTGTGCTAGATATGTAATGCACCTAAAATCTAACATATCATTTTGAAATAATAATCATAAAAAAGCACCCGCTTAAAAAAGAATGCAGGAACTGAATACCGCCTCAAAAAGAATTGGGGACATAAAAAAAATGGAAGGATACAGTTCATCCTCGAGTGAAGGCGTCTTCATAGCAGAACCCACTCCATCAAAGCCCTTGCTTATATCGGAAAGCCTCACATCCGCACCAAACTCCTCAAATTCTTCGTTCTCCGGTCCAGTATCTGAAAACAATCCCAACATTAAAAAACAATAAAAAGAGCCAAAAAGTATTCACCCCAGAATCCAATCCAAAGTACCAGGAACATATCCAAAGCTCCTCATAATATCCTCAACTTCAGAAATGTGCTTCTCATTCGCCTTGTACACCTCATTGCAGTAACCGAGCAACTCCTCAAAGGAGACTGTGTCGAACGCCATGGAGTTTAGCAGACTAAGATCGCTAATTGTAGTAGACATTCGATGCTCCAGTGACTGCAAGAAAGCGGCAGCCGCCGAATCTATACAGCAGAGTAGGGTAATGTGGATGCATCATCGATCTCGAGTTCAGAAGGAAGATTAGGGTTTCATTGCGAAAATCGATGATGAAATCGAGAGAGTTACCAAGCGGAATCGGACTCCTCTGAACGGAATCGGAGAGGGCTTTGGAGCTGGACTCTACGTGATTGCAGAAGGCGGCGAGCGATCTGAAAAAAGAAAAGATGGCGGCATCCATTGAGGGAAGGGCTGATCTCCCTCCTCCCCTCCTCCGCGCGGGAAATCAAACGAAATAGAAACCAAATCTGAACGTCCTTACGTTCGATTTATAGGGCATAATATTTTCTTGATTTAAGAGAAAAAAATGTCTCGACATGTGATTATTTGAATAGGGGTGTAAAGGAGCCGCACCTAGCCATTTATATTTCGATCTAAAATATTGTGTTCGTGTTCAACTCGTTAACTTATCGAATAAAATTAACGAGCCGAACAAAAGCTTCTTAACGAGCCGAACAAGAGCTTCTTAACGAGCCGAACACGAGCTGTTCGCGAACAACGATCCGTTTTGACAGCCTTACATGTGAATCATAGATCTCCACTATCCATCACATCAAATTTTTATTTAAAAAAAATTCAAAATAAGACCCACTGTCATACATCTTTGTTGTGATGTATGATAGAGATTGGACATCATATGTTTCTCTACATAAGATGTCCGTATGAAATAATTTTTCAAATCATAGAGTGCAGTGCATCATCCTTTGTGTCCGAAATTTATCAGACATAATATTTTTTTTATGCTTTAACATTTTAAATTATAATCGTGTGATTGTTATGATTGTATTTGAGTAACAATTTTTTTATTGTTTTTAGAAATTGATATAATGGGAGCTATTTCTTACAATAAAATTTTGTTAAGTTTGATAATTATAAAAAAGTTAATCCTATTTTAATATATATATATATATATATATTATTCTCACATCAATTACTAAAAAAGTATTTCCCATTAGCTTTATAATCACTGGTATAAAAGATATAGCCTCCCCCTAATATGATTTGAGAGATCTTGACTTTAAATCAAGCTAAGAATTTATAGAGTAAAATATCAAAGTAGTCCTCAAAAATTTATTGTGCCGTCTTAATTTTAGAGTTTTAAAAAGTATCAAAATACTCCAAAAATTCATTAAATTAGAGCTGAAATAGTCATCTGATTATTTAAATTGAGGCTAAAAGAATCTTCATGAAGAACTATTAAAACTCAATTTTAAAATAATTAGAAATTTTATTAACACTTTTATAAACTCTAGGGCTAAAAAAACCTCATGTAAATAATCACCTCCTATTTTAACACTTTACTAAAAATTTTATATATAGGTCTATGTGTTTTTTGTAAGATTAATTATAAATATTAAATTTATTTAATTTTCTTTTATAATTTATGATTATTTTTATTCTATTTTCTCTCAATTTGTTTAGTGTCGTTAAGTGACTTCTACAATTAGGGTTGTCAAAAAAGCTCGTTGTTCGTGAACAGTTCGGATCGTCAATAAGTTCGTGTTCGATTCGTTCGATAAATTAACAAGACGAACGTGAATAAATTTTTTTCGTTCGATTAATTAAATGGATCAAACACGAACAATGATTTGTTAGTTCGTGTTCGAGTCATTATTGTTCAAAATATTAAATAATTTAAAATGATTATATATAAAAAAAATTATGATATTTTAAAAAATTAAATTTTATAAATTATAATATATAATAAATTAATAAAAATAATATATTAATATACTATATTAGTAATATATATTATATATTTATATAATATAAGTTATATAATTAATATAAGATATTATTTATATATATTAATATTAGGAATGTCAAGCTGGCTCGTCGTTCGCCAACAGCTTGTGTTCAGGTAATTCGTTAAGAAACGAACACGAACAATGACTTCACGAACAATTTCAAACACGAAATTATTTCAAACAAACTAAATTTCAAACGAACCGAAACGAACCGAACACGAACACAAGCTCTGTTCGTTCGTGTTCGGTTCGTTTACACCCCTATCTACAATTCATCTCAAACAAAGCTTTTAGTAAGAAAGCAAGGCTTTAATTAAGCTTCATTGTCTTCATGCGTGTAATAACTATTGCAGTTCTTGAACTAGGACAACAAATCAGGCTCTACAGTATGCATATCATACATACATACATACATACATACATACATACATACATACATACATACATACATACATACATACATACATACATACATACATACATACATATATCTATATATGGATTGAAAGATATATTTTACTTTTTCGAAGTTCAAATGAGGTATATTTTGACGTGATGAAAATTTTGAATTAAGGGTGTACAAATTTGACCCAAGTCAACTCAGCCCGAACCGACTTGAAAATTCAGGTTCAGGTTAGCTCGAATAATTTTCGTCTCTAGTTCATATTAAAAATCTTAGCCCTTCTCATTTTCTGGATCGGGTTTGAGTTGACCGGCCAACGCAAAAATGATCCAAAATTGACTCACCAACCACTGACTCAAAATTAACCGAAATTTGACCTAAATAGCTGTTATTCCTTATGTTAAATCTTATTTACAGGTCGTGTTCAGAGTGACAGGTTAAAGATGGGTCATGTTCGGATTGAAATTTGTCTTACCTAATATTTGGGATGGCAACCTAACCAGACTCGCAAACCTAATTTAACACCCCTATTTTGAATTATACAAACGGGTCCATTTGAGATCACTCGACTTTTATTTTTATTTTATTTTATTTATATTTTTACTTGAAATAAAACATATTTAGTTGTTTTTTATAAATACTCAAAATAACTTTTAGATATTTTCATTATTTTAAAAATAAGCTAAATTTATTTTTTAAAACAGCAAATAAAAACATACAAAAAAAAAAAATGCTAATCAAACATATTTTTAAAATCAACGTAAAAACAAAAAATAATAATAATAACAAAAAAAAGTGATCCCCAAATAAGAACTAAATATTTCAATAAATAAAATTAATAAGCTTGAAAAAAAATGTAATACTACACTTCAAGTACTAAGATATATGTGATAATAAAAGGTTCATAATATCAGGCAGCAGAATAGATAAATGTTTGAAGAAAGCAACTCAAACAATTTGTCATGTTAACTCTATACACAATCTATTATGCACACATTTCAGCTCAACCATAAGACAAAAAAACTGATGTTTAGGTGGCTGCTTACTTTCATGATTGGATCAAGTGAGTTCGCCTTGAAGAACGTCTGCAGCCCTCCGAATGGCTCGAGCAACCCTCCATATTTCATGCTCTATCGTCGTCATCTCGCCCTTCGTCGAGCTCTTCATAGAATCAGATATTGCATCGGCTATCCCGGGAAAGAAAGAAAGCTTACTTGCACCATCCTTAGGAGGAGAATATAGCTGCAAAATCAACAGCAGCAGCTAAAATGGTATAAATGTAAAAAAAGTAAGTTTTGGTGTTAGATATGTAAAAATATAAAAATTGGGTGGTATGTATGTAAATGCTAACCAGATGTCTAAACCATGGCCGACCTCTGAGGCCTTCTGGGTCCAAGAAAGCCCTCTCTGTGAGCATTAGCCTGTCGTTAAAAGCCCGCAGCCTTAGAGAAGAAGTGTCGTCTTCTGCTAAACCTTGCACTTTAAACATCTGCAGGTCAATCCAGTAAAACAAGTGGAAACAATCGTATTGGCCTTAAAACCACATTAAATGAGTTTGAGAAAAAAGAAGGTTGCATGCATTTATATACATACCACTCAATTTTTATGTATTTACCATATCTAACACCTAAACTTCACTTTTTTACATATATCTCATCCAAAGTATGCATGAAAAAGTGTTTTTCATTTTTTAAGAGTTAAAAAAGTGATGTTTTTTGTGTGATATAAAAGGCTTGGGCGGTATAAATGTAAAAATCAAAGAATAGGAGTTAAATATGTAAATACATAAGAATTGGGTGGTGTTTTATGTAAATTTCACATACAAATAATGGGGACATTAGGATTAGGTTGCCAAATGTATCATATTGTATGTATGCCAAGACACAAAATAGCTAAAGTGTGAGGTCATTTGGGATCACTTTAGATTTTAGTTTTCCGTTTTCCATTTTTATATTGTTTTGCTTATTGTTTTGATTTGAAAGATTGTAACGGCTCTTTTAAGAAAAACTCAAAAACACATAAAATTATTTTAAATGTTTTAAGAACAAGAAGATTCATTTTTAAAATTCTAAAATAGAAACAAACAAAAAAATAAACTAAACAAATATATTTTTAAAAATAAAAAATAAAATTGATGCCAAACTTCTGTATGGGAGCTATAAATGGAGTATAATTATAATTCATAAGGATATCTAACCTTGGCTTCATCCTGAGCTGCTTTGGCTGCTGCAGTAAACTTCTGTATGGATGAAAGTATGGGATCTATCTTAAGACCATCAAATAAGGCTATCAGAGCATTTGCGTGTTCCTGAACTCAGAAAAAGAGAGCTGATTTTCTATCAATTCCTTGAAACAGTAGGCCTGTAGAAATATGTCAAAAAGCCTCCCTACCAGCAATTGACTGGAGTAGGAGTTATAATCAAAAGGCAAGATGCGGTCATCTGAAAGACGAAGGCCTAAGAGTCCCCAAATTTCAGAAGCTGAAACAACATTTCGCAACAATTTTTTTAGAGACTAGGGATGTGTCTATAAACAGCAAAAGAAAGAAAGAAGATTTTCAAACATAACAGTGATAATTGTCCAACTGATTGTTGGATTTTTATACACCATGGCATGGCCCAATCAAGCAAATTCTATAAGAAAACTCCAATAATGCATAGATGAGTTGTTTCATGATGAGTTCGTGGTGATTCATTGCTCCAATTTAGTAGTGCTAGTTTAAATGAAATAATCTTTATCATAACCAACAGAAGCAATATTGAGTTTAGTTTTTGTTTCACTAGATAGAGATTAGTAATGAGAACTGACGTGTGTCTTCTTTTTAGCTGGTATTTTATAATATTTGAATAGTCAGGAGATACATGAGTCGAAATCATCGTATGTAGACTGGCGTTTACGGGGAATAAAGTGGATTGCTAAAAATTGGAAAATTTATGTTCCAACCCACCGCAGTGTATTATCAATTTGCATTCCAACATTCTCGGGATTCGAGCAACTTAAGCTTATGGGTCTCAATCTATCAATACCTTGAGAGTTTCTAAGGGAGTTATTAAGCAAATTAGGGCTGTCTTCAATTGTTCAGTCATGTATTTTGGATGTAAAATTTGTTGAGAAATTACATTCTTTGAGCCATGGTGCAAGATTTCAGGTCCAAGTGCAAATATTTAGGATAATGCCAAAAACTCATGATGAAATGGCTTCATCTTGTGCTTTAATTTATTAAATTTTCTCATAATTTCCATCTTTCTTTGCTCAGTTTGACTTGTTCTTCAATTTTTTTTTTTTAAATTTGTAATTTCTATCCATTTAGATACCCAATTTTGGTATCATGGGTTTTTTTTTCTCAGGGATATATATATATATATATATATATCATATAAACCAACATACAAAGTGAATTGTTCTCAGACATTGTGTTCAAATCAAGAACAAGCTTACCGTGAACTTATTAGGATAGCTCGTTGTCGGCGCTTAAAGGGGGAAAAAGTTAATGTTTGGGGGTCGCCCGTAAGAAGCTGTCGGCAGCCGGAATCGAAATCCCGTCACCCGCTTCGGAAGGACTTTTTA